GATGCACCACGCTCATCATTGGCAACGCCGCCAAGGCGGGAATCCGTATGCAAAACGATGCGACAACGGGCCATGTGGAGATGTTTCTGACTTGAGCGCTAGGATTCGTTGCTTTTGACCAGTTCAAGAGCCTTCTTGCCGACGAGAACGGGAAGCTATCTGGACCGCGCACCGTCCTGGCTGGCTTCGGCGCCGGCGTCACGGAATCGCTGCTCGCCGTCACGCCCACCGAGAGTATCAAGACGACTCTGTATGCCCTCCCGTTACATACATGCTGCACCTACGTCTCCAGCGTTCCTGTAGCTAATATCTCTATCACACCAGCATCGACGACCGCAAGTCCCCCAAGCCCCGCATGCGCGGCTTCCTCCACGCCGTCCCCATCATCGCTCGCGAGCGCGGCATCCGCGGCTTCTTCCAGGGCTTCGTCCCGACGACGGCCCGCCAGGCGGCCAACAGCGCCACGCGCTTCGGCGCCTACAACTTCTTCAAGCAGATCGCCGAGTCGTACACGGCGCCCGGCGAGAAGCTCGGCGCCGTGGGCACCTTTGCCATGGGCGGCCTGGCCGGGCTGGTGACGGTGTACGTGACGCAGCCGCTCGACACGGTCAAGACGCGCATGCAGAGCATCGAGGCCAAGTCCATGTACGGCAACACGTTCCGGTGCGCCGCCATGATCTTCAAGCAGGAGGGCGTTCTCACGTTCTGGAGCGGCGCGCTGCCCCGGCTGGCGAGGCTGGTGCTGAGTGGCGGCATCGTGTTCACCATGTATGAGAAGAGCATGGATCTGATGAACAAGCTGGACCCGGAGATGAAGTACATCTGAGGGAGAGATGCTGGGGGACGGAGGGGAGAGGGAAGGAAAAGATAGGCCTGGCGTTTAGGATTTAGATGGGCATATGCAGCCTGGTTTTCATACAGCCACTGGTCGTAATGTATGTATATATGTGTATATATATGTTCGCAGTGTACAGTCATGATTGCAAAAAGATTGTCGTCGTGGTATCTTCCGCCCTTGTCATGTCCATTCCCGTCATGAGATGCAGCCCTTTGCCCTCCTTTGCCTTGTATCTTGTATGCTTATTCGTTCAATATTGGTATTTTGTCGATCTCGATCTCTTGTCCGTGTCGATGTCGATGCCCGCCCTCTTATTCACTGCCTCACTGCAGTCTAATCATCCCAGACAACCTCTTCCCCAACCTCTCCAGCCAAGTCCTCTTCGGCGCCTCCTCAATCTCCCTAACCAGATCCTCGAAATACGTCGGCTGGCTCTTTGGCTGCAGCATAGGGCCCTTGAGCTTATACTAGACATTCCACAAAATCACACACCCCCAGTTAGCAACTTATCATCAATCGAGAGATGCACATAAAACCCTAGCAGCAAAGAAGAGGAGTTGACGCACCCTGTCTCTAAACTTGTTCTGCACCAAGAACTGCAGCGCCCTCGCCTTGAGCAGCTCCTCCGTCTCCATGGACGCCTTGTACCCGCTGCCGCTGAACCGCTCGTCGACGACCTTGCCCAGGACGTCCTGGAACTGGTAGTCCGGCCGGAGGTCCTGCTTGGGCCATTTGGCGAAGACGTCGGAGTAGATGCGGCGCTGTGTTTCGAAAGCAAAGAAAATGTCAGCAATTCTACCCATCTACCAATTCCCAAAGAATGCGTTGAAAGAATTGGAACAAGACTTACTGCTAATGATCGCGACATTGTCAAGAAGGGATGCGCGTCTCTGCGCAGCTTTTGGTCGTCACTGTTTCGCAAACCGGGATGGAACTCTTAAATACCAGTCCCAGCAAATATCGAATTTCTTTGAGCTGAAGCAAACTTTCCGCCTGTACAGTGCCGAGTCTACAGTGCGGTGTTCGAGCGCATGCCGGATCCGAGAGTACATGTACGGGGATGCTTGCGGAAAGTGCGCTAGAGCGTGCATATTCGTGCGACATCAGACGTTCCGGCTACTTCCAGAGCGCTGGAGTCCGCGCACGGCTCCGGAGCTAGAAAGGCGATGCAAAACAACATCCAGACATCATCGACAGCGCCCCGTCTGATCCGCCCGAGCACGAACGCGCGGGTACCGGTACGAGCCTCGGATCTCGTGCAGAACAACTGCCACAAGTCCTTCGGTTGAAGAGCAGAGGTCCAGCGGCATCAGAAACAGCGCCGGAAGCGCCAAACAGGGTCCCGAACCCCCCGCAAAGGTGCCCTCCAAAGGACCCCCAAAAGTCCCTGGATCATTCCAGAGCGCTCCTGCAGAAACATTGAAAGTACAAGTACCGGTACGCGCGTCGCTACCGGCCAGTACCCAAAGCGCAGCAGTCTTCCGGCCGGCCCCGCAGGTACCTCGCAGTGCACCGGCAGGTCCAGGCTGCCTCCCTGCCAACCTGCCTTGGCGCCGGGCATTGGTCATCAGCCATCAGTGGCCGCATAATCCCAAGTTCAGGTTCTGCTCCCCATTTCATTCATTCCCTCACCCAAATCCACTTCTGCTCAGTCTCATCTCCAAAGACTCGTTACCTCGACCAACGACTGCCCTTACGATCTTCGTCTTCATTCTTTGAGTTCCGTTTCGTTTTCTTTCTTCTTCGCGCCTTATACCCTTGTCGTCTTCACCCTTGACTCGACTTTTTCTCCTCATCTCTCGTCTTCGGTCTCCTTTGTTTGTTCCTCGCCCCTTTGCGTCGCCTTTTTTCCGGATCTGCGCTCCTTTTTTTTTCCAACGGCGCTCGTGACCCGATTACGACATCACCAACTCTCCTCAAACACCACCGAATCCGCCGCGCTGCGTGAATTTCTACGAAAACATCCATCGCAATCATGTCTGGGCGTTACGAGAGGGTATGTGGCTGGCTCATTACTTTCCCCCCCTGGGAGGTTTCTTTACCTTGAGTCAACTGTGGGCGCAAGACTGACGGTCGATTGACGCAGGTAAATGCCCACGACGAAGACGAGGAACACGACGTTCCACAGCGCCGAGCCCAGATCCCCAACTCGCCACCGCCGTCGTTCCACTCCCGCGCCTCTTCACCGACACGAAATGGCCAGGTCAACAACGATCTCGCCGATGCGTTTGATGACGACGACGGCAGCGACGACGAGGAAGCCGACGACAGACAACGACTCGTCCGGCAGAACTCGACCCCGACCATTCGATCCACCGAATCTGCGCGACCCTCTGCTCCGACGGCGCCTGCTCCAGCCCCGACGACACCGGACAACGCCTCGTCTGGTTCGCGACCCCGAGTGATGGGAGGCGGATTTGGATCCGACGGAGTGTTTGCCAACATGTCAGCCCGTCCTGAGCGGGGGGATGCCAATGCTGAAAAGGAGGAACAGCCACCGGTATGCCCGCCCTGCTGACCCCCTTTACCCCTACAATCATGAAACAATCATGAACAGCATCAATACTAACAATGCTCGCAGACGTACGAACAAGCTGCTGCAGACGCCGCCCCGCCGTACTGGGAGACGACGATTCTCGCACCCGGCTACGGGGGTGCTGACGAAGTCTATGTTGACGGCATGCCCGTCGGCTCGGTGTTCTCATTCATCTGGAATGGCATGATCTCGACTTCATTCCAGCTTGTCGGGTTTCTGCTCACCTACCTCCTCCACTCGACTCACGCTGCCAAGAACGGATCGCGAGCTGGCCTCGGCATCACCCTGATTCAGTACGGCTTCTATATGAGAGAGACGCCCGATGAGGCGCCAACGATGACGGGCCCCGACGGATATGCCGCGCCGCCAGATCCAAACTCGCACAACTTTGATCCCGACGATGTCCGCGATGGCGGCTCTGGCATCTCTGGTAACGACTGGATGGCATACATCTTGATGGTTGTCGGCTGGTTCCTCCTCATCCGGAGCGTAGCCGAATATATGCGAGCCCGACGACACGAGCAACTGGTGCTGCAAAGCCCTGACCGAGGGCTCGGCGTTCCGGTCATTGCCGAAGGCGAGAGCGCAGAGCACGTGGTATAGAGCGGATGATTCCTACCCCTGTAGACCTAAACCGTTTCTTTTTTTTCTCCATCGTTTGCTGTATTTCCGTTAGGTGGCTCTTGTCGCTTCTTGTTGTGGAAGGGAGAGCGAGGGGATGTGGTGGACTCTTAGCAGGCAAGGCGTTTGTCTTGTGCCTCGTTTCCTTGTTTTGTTGAGTTTGTGGCATGAGTTCTGGCGTTGGGGACACGTGCATTCCTAGTTCTGAGGCATAACGCGCAGCACGCTTCTCTTATGTAGAATATATCAAATAGCACAATGGGTCATTTGCCTGATCATACCTTATCTGTGTCTGCTCTGCTCTATACATGAACTGAATCACCAAATCCATGATGGTGGCTGGCAAGGTCTCGAACTGGCAGACGGATCCAGCCAGTGATCGCGTGCATCAATTGATTGAGGTGCCCGGCACCTTACAGGGCCCTCCGCTAATTTACAGGCCTGGAGCGGCCACTAACGCCCGCTAGCCGCTGCCCCGCGTCGTGCGGGGTCTGCAGATGGCCCGCTGATGGAGGGCCCTTGAGCGCTATCGGGCCCCCCATTTCTCTCAGACACATGCAGCCCGTCTCATGCTAGTACTTGTAGTACTTGTACTTGAGCAGCTCGAGCAGCTGGTGGACTGACCACCTCCGTCAGCACGGAGCTCATGAGAGGGAGCCTTTGACGTCGTTCCTACATCATGCCGGGCTGAGAACATTGGACTCTCGATACCTTCACTATCCTAATCTTTCTCAATCATACTTTTTCTTCCTACAAATCATACGAGTTGCAGTTCATTGCTTAGTATCCGCTTACCGAGTATCATCGTAAACGTGCCATCTTGACGATTCACAGCATCCATCTCACCTATAAGACTGATCGCTGACTCGACAACGAAACCTGGCTCCTCCACTTCTCCCTCTCCCTCTCCCTAGAACAAGACTGTCCAGTCCCTCCTTTCTTGTCAAGTCAGCCGGCATCTGCGTCCTCATTGCAGCCGGACTCGAGGCTCGACGAGGCATCAGCATGGCGTGGCGGTGCTCGGGAAGCTCCAACGCAGGGCTCGTGGCCAACCTGTGGACGCACGGCCTCATCACCGAGCCTCTGGTCAAGGAGGCCTTTCTCAAGGCAAGCTGCCTCCTCCTTCTCATCATCGTCTTCAAGAACGCTATGAGTTGACTAAAAGCTTTGAAGGTCGACCGCAGGCACTACGCCCCGGCCATGCCCTACCAAGACTCTCCCCAGTCCATCGGCTACGACGCCACCATCTCCGCCCCCCACATGCACGCCTCCGCCATCGAAAACGTGCTCTCCCGGCTGCTCCCCTCGGAGACGTCCCCGGCTCCGCGCGTCCTCGACGTCGGCTCCGGCTCGGGCTACCTCACGCACATCTTCGCCGAGCTGGTGGGCGACCGGGGGCTCGTCGTGGGGCTGGAGCACATCAGGGAGCTGCGGGACCTGGGCGAGGCCAACATGCGCAAGAGCGACGAGGGCAGGCGGCTGCTCGACGAGGGCAGGGCCAAGTTCGTGCTCGGGGACGGCCGGCTGGGGTGGCGCGAGGCGGCGAGGCCGGGCGAGGAGCAGTTTGGGACGGCGTGGGATGTGATTCATGTTGGGGCCGCGGCGAAGGAGGTGCATGCGCCGCTGCTGGAGCAGCTCAAGGCGCCGGGATGGTGAGCTTTTCCGCACATCTCCTTTTTCTCCTTCTGATATTGGTGCTGACAAGGGACCGTCAAAAGTATGTTTATTCCGGTGGACGACGACGCCTCCGGGTGGGATCAGAGCGTGTGGCGCATCGAAAAGGACGAGGCCGGGAACGTGACGAAGAAGAAGCTCTTTGGGGTGCGCTACGTGCCCTTGACGGACGCCCCCAAAAGGTGAGGTTTGATGCAACGTTTGTTTTTTCTTTGCCTTTGGTTTGCTATTTCTGGATTCTCCTCGCAAGTTGCAATGTAAGTTAGGACGCGCATCTCCCTGAGCTATCGTCACTTGAATCCCATTCGCTCAAAAGACTGGGATTGAACAATCAGATATTTTCCAACAAATTAATCTGTCCAAGCTTCCATAACATCTAGCCTTTTTTCAAACTGTTCCATTACCGTATATAGTCTCATAAAATCACAATCTAACGCAGGCCCCCTCAAACGCCTCGAAACGTGCGTGTATCAACCACTCTCCTCGTCTCCTCCACAAACTACATGCTCAATTTTTCAGTGCAAAACCAGTTCCGACATGAATTCATCATGACAAACCGCCTCACAACCAGAACACAGCCATAACCGCCGCCATCACCACACCAGCCTCATATCGAGGAACCGCCCCGCTGATCGTCACCGGCACCTTGGTAGGGACCACGCCACCGTTCGTAGGCCTCGGGTGCGTGGGCGCAGAGTCCGTAACAAGCTTGACGCATGGTCCTCCGGGAGGGCAAGACCAAGAAGGAGGAGAAGAAATGGGAGCAGCAGCAGTAGTAGCAGTGATCTTGCAGTGCTCGCCATCGCACTCGGGCTTTTTCTTGCAGTGCTCGCCATCACACTCCGGCTTTGCCGGCTCAGAATGGGAGGGCGTGGCTGGCTCGGCCGACGAGGCAGCCTGGTGCTTCGTGATGGGGGAGAACGGCGGCGTGTCGATGCCCTTGTCGTGAGCCCTCAGAGGGCAGTCTGTGACTTCGGGGGGGCAGGACGTAATCGTCTTGATCTCCGTCGTCGTTTTCGTGGCGGGGTCTTCCTTGTCCTTGTTGTTCCAGTTCCAGGTGCCAATGTCCTTGTTCTCGTCTTCGTGCTCCTCTTTGTTCTTGTCTCCAAGTTCCTTGTCTGCGCTCTTGTCTCCGTGCTCATCGTTCTTCCGGTCCCAGCCGCCGCCAACGTCCTTGTTCTTGTCATCTCCGTGCTCCTCCTCGCACGCATCATCCTCGTACTCCTTCTTATACAAGCTATACCGCTTCTTTCCCGTAACAGGACAATCCGGGCCTCCGCAGAACCCACCAGCCGCCGCGCAGGGGATCTGGCAAACCGACTCGTCAATGACATTGTACTTGGGCTCTTCTTCTTTGCTAGTGCCATCATCATCGGAGAGGTAGCAGCGGCAGCCTCCTGCGCCGTCCAGGGCGGCGTACTTCCCCTTTTCGTGGCACGCGTGCTGGCATTGCTCGGCGGAGAAGGAGGCGGGCAGGTCCGTGGCGGTCTTCCACGAGGAAAAGGCCGGGGGCTCGGCCTCGACGCAGCCGATGTATTTGAAGCCCGGGGCTGCGTGGTCGGCTTGGGCGGCGACGCTGGCGGCGAGGAGGCCTGTGAGGAGGAGGAGGCGGGACATTTTTGTTGTTGATGATGATGATGGGGGCAATAAAACAAACGAAGGTGGGTGATGGGTTGTTTGTGAGTGTGATGATTTTATGTGCTCTGCTTGAACGAAGGACTCCTGGGGTGAGATGAGAGCTGAGCTTTTTTTTGATTCGATTCTGGAGGAGCATGTTTGCCAAGTTTATATACATCCATGTTTCTTCCAACCTCGCTATGGGATGCGTAGCCAGACTTGGGCACGGAAACAACAACATGGACTGGTGGACTACATGCTGGGAATGTATGGCCCTCACATGGGCTATGTGCTCCATCACGGAAATACCACGCAACCAACACTCTATTTTCGTCCGCGGCGAAGAAACTCCAGTCTTTGGACTGAGTGGAGGGCAGGTAAATACCATGCACCAACGCTGTACCCACGCAGAAGGGCAGAGAATCCAAGGCTGTGCTGGTGTTTGTCCCCTCCGTATATGTGGAGGGACAGCAAGAGACGGGGATGCGCGCAGAATGGCATGCGACATCCAACATGCCACCTCAAGGCACGAAACACTTATGTACAAGTCAGGAACCAACCCGAAATGTCTGGCCCCAAAAGGTATGTTCAGCTCAGAAGAGCACAGTTCTTTTACCGCGTTTTTGGTTGGTCTCAAAGGGTCAAGCTGAGACATATGTAGTCATTGTGTGGGAAAAAAAAAGGGGGGGGAGGGGGCGAGGCTGGGGGCTGTTGCATTACGGCCCCAGCCATGCGGACAGGCAAAAGGGATAGGAATGCTGCTCGAGCAAGGAATCTCGCCAGCCGCGACTTTTTCGTGTTTTGAGACGACGATGGGGGGGTTACTATAGCATTCCGGAGATGGAGACATGCGGTTTGCTCTTCGCTTGATGTGAGAAAGTGTCTGTGAGGATTGATGGATCGTGTTTGGCCTTGCCATCTTCAACGAAACTAGGGTCATCTTGTAGCGCTGGACTTTCAAAAGGCTCATCGTGTGCTAAGCTGAGCATTTTCTCGCGGGGAAAACACATCTACTCACCTTTTGTTCCGGTCCTGTTCTATGGGCTGTGGAGATGAAGTGACAAGGTGGGAGTTGGCGGATCTGTAGCATTGATATGTGAACATACTTTTTATACACGTGTGATTCCATCCGAGTTGATTTCTTCGGAATCTCGACACTCGCCCGTTGCCACTATATCACTCAAGTTTCCAGGGTGAAAGTTCTCATGAATTGTCTTTACCTCTTTGGTCTCTACGCTATGCCCATGCGAAAGTCTTTGCTGTAGGAATACCATTCTTCGTAAACATCCCATCGCAACGCCGCATCATCTACACCAGACATGTCCTAAAGAAGCAATTTGCAATCTAGACATGGTCCGAATTATTGTGCCCAAGGTAAAAAAGAAACTCAAAAAAAGGTTACTTTTCTCATAGAGCTGAATTGGCTCCCCTCACTTGACGTTCCTCGTTCACCGGTTCATCTCAGCGTCCTGTTGGCTTCACCATACACGCCATGTTCCCAACCCGGATACATTGAGAAGTGTATCGTCACATACCGGTAGCTTTGAACAATCTCCTGATGCGAAAGCTTTCTCAAGCGACCAAACAGTCCATGGGACATCACAGGAGATATGACTTCTTTCCTCCCAATCTGCTACACCTCTTTCAGGGCAAGCAGATTACTCAAATCATCCAGACAGCAACATTTAGCTAGAGTTTCTGTTATCACAATCTCGCCGAACGAGAAGGCAGAGATACTATTCTTGCTAAGATGGCTTCGTCCAGGGTAGAGCCGCTAGGAGCTCTAAGCTTAAGCATATGAATAGACTCAAACTCTACAACTCGCCTTTCTTGAAATGTCTCCGTCCCGGTCTAGTCAAATGCCCCCTTCCCCAACAAACAAGAACAACCAAAAGAGAATGAGGGAAAAAAGAGAGCGTTTCCAAAATTATTTAACAAAGCTCATATCCCCCATGTCCAGCTCTTGATGATAACCATCTTATACATACTTACACACAATCACAACCGCACACACAATCACCAACGCACACCACGACTTCTCTCTCTCTCTCTTTATTTTCATTTGTCAAGGTTTAGAGAACAGAAAACCACGAATGTCCACTCTCAAAGCCTGGTCATAACTTGGGGAGATGGCACTAAACCCACTCTCTCCTATGCCGACGAGACAGCACGGGCAGCAGAGCGTGCTGCCTCAGAATCAGCCAAGGATGCTTCGCCAGAGCAGCCCTCCTCTCCAGCGCCGCCGACCGCCACGAGTACTCCAGTACCCAGAATCTGGGGCCAAGGGGCGGATCAAGGACCGCGGGCGGGTGGGGGCTCCTCCTCCCCGGCGGTTATTGGGATAAACTGGTGAGCGAGCATGAAAAGGTAGAGCAGATTGACGTTCATTTGAAACACCCGGTCACTAACCACTCAAAACAGCCTCCATCTACAAAAAAATCTCCCATGGCTTGCCCCCAGCAGTTCAAGGGATAATGTGGTTGATACTGCATGGAAAAGTAAAGTAGAGTCTTATCATACATCCCTTGACAAACCTATCACTGACAGTCAACAACAGCCAGCCACATATGCATCATCTACCACGGCTGCGTGCCATGGTTCGTCACGACCTTGCCTGCATCAGCATCCCTCTCCCCCTCGGCAACCCTCCTGATAAACTCCCCCCCAATGGCCGGATCGCCCGCCCCCATGGCCTTGAGCATCTCCGGAGCGCCCCCCAGGCCCGTGGCCAAGAACCCGGGGCTGATGCAAAACGTCCTGACGCCGTCCTCCTTGAGCAGCCAGTGCCAGTTGAGCATCACCATGTTGAGCGCCGTCTTGCTGCTCTTGTACCCGAGGTTGGCGATGACGCCGCGCTTGGGCCAGCCGGCCTGCGGCTTGGGCGCCCAGTCCGGGTAGAAGCTGCGCGAGTGCGCCTCCAGCGTCGACAGGCCCGAGGTGAGGAAGAGGAGGCGCGGCGAGGCGGACTTGATGAGCAGGGGCGCGAAGGTGGCCGTCACGATGTGGGTTCCCGTGACGTTGACGTCGAACGCCTTGTTGAAGATTGTCCGGGCGTTGGCGAGGTCGCTTGCAAAGTCTGGGGTGTCGAATGCTGCGCCTGTTTCACTGTGTTAGCTGAGTTTCTCATGTATAGAATATTATGTGTCGGGAGAGAACAAATAAAACGAACCAGCGTTGTTGATGAGAGTGTCGATATGGTCAACCTTTCCGCTCACGACCTCGAACGCCTTGGCAATGGACTCGTCGCTCTCCAGCTCAATGGCGACGGGCTCGAGGGTGCTCTGCGAGGAGGGAAACTCCTTGACGAGGGCATCGATCGCGTTCTGGCTCTTTTCGAGGGTGCGGCTGCCGACGAAGATGCGGTACGGCTTGGAGGAGCGCAGGAGGGCCTTGACGGCCTCGTAGCCGATGCCGGTGTTGGCGCCGGTGATGAGGAGGATTTGCTTGTCTGCCATTGTGGTGTTGCGAAGATGATGACGGGTGGTGGTGTCAGTGGTTGGTTGCTTTGGGATGAATGTTTGAGTTGATGGTGTAAGTGAGCTTGAGTCTTGCTGTGTGTGGCTGATGAATGCCATCGAGGTGTAGATGCTGGTGGACTTATATAGCCGTCGACCTTGCTACATGGATCCAAATACGCCTCCAAATACGCATCCAAGCATGAACTGCCACCTATTCTATCAACATTCCATCATCATCCTCCCAAAACACCATCGCCAACGCCCCCCTTACGCCCATGAATCCTATGAAACGGGGCTCTTTTTTCGACCCGACTCCGGACTTCAGCTCAGGCACCAGCCGGGGTTAATCGACGACGAAACATGCCATCGTCAATGCGCCATTTCCGCCCTCGGACAGCCGAGAAATTCCGTGCTTCGCTCTCGCTCTAAATTGTGGGGGTAAATCGCGGCCAGAGTTACCCGGCGTTTGTGAATTGGAGTTCCGGAGGGGTGGTGAAGCCATTCGGAGCCGAAGCGTAAACTCCAGGCTTGTGTGGTGCCTGCATGTGAGCTTTGCGTGAGGCCTTATGTAAAGCACGGCGTTGCCTGAGTTTCGAGTTGAGATTGCTCGTTGCTGCTTATTTGTTCATATTGACCAGAACCTCACTCATCATTTCTGTTTCCTTTCTTCATCTCATCGACGACAAGTGCAATTCACGCTCGCAAACATCCAACATCATGGCCGGATATAGCCCTCGTCCCCGAAACCCTGGACCCCGCCCCCGCGATCCCAATCCCGGCCCTCTTGTCGAGCCTCACATTCCCCTGCTCTCATGCACACACGTGAACGTCACTCGTCACTCACTCAGCCATTAACATACAACACGCCACACACAACCCATCCATGGCGTCCCCCATCAAAAAGGTCTGCCTGGTGGGCGCCAACGGCACCCTGGGCTCCGTCATCCTCGCCGCCCTCGTCCAGGCAAACTGCTTCGACGTGTCCATCCTCCAGCGCTCAACCTCCTCCTCCTCCTCCTCCTCCGCATCCGCCTCCGCCTCGGCTTCCATCCCCCGCATCATCGTCGGCCCCGACCTCGCCGTCGACGAGCTCACCGCCGCCCTCGCCGGCCAGGACGCCGTCATCGCCGCCTTCCCCCTCGGCCAGGGCGACCAGCACCTCCGCCTCGCCGAGGCCTGCTCCCGGCGTCCGGCGCTTCATCCCCGCCGACTTCGGAAGCTGCGACGCCGCCGACCCCAAGCCACAGGAGTATCTCCCGCTCTACCGCCGCAAGACGCTGGTGCGCGAGCGGTGCGAGGAACTCGCCGCGCGGCCCGGCTCGGCGTTTACCTGGACGGCGCTCGTGTGCGGGCACTTCTTCGACCACGGGCTGTGGGACGGGCTGCTGCACTTTGACCTTGCGACGAGGACGGCGCAGATCCTGGACGGCGGCAACGTCAGGGCGTCGGCGTCGACGCTGAGGCGCATCGCGGAGGCGACGGTCAGGGTGCTGCAGAGGGCGGAGCAGACGAGCAACCGGAGGATCTACGTCCAGAGCTTCAACCCGACGCAGCTGGAGGTCCTGGCCGCGCTGGAGAAGGCCATGGGGGAGAAGTGGCACGCTCGGCATGTGGACTCGAGGGCGTATCTGGAGGATGCGCGGAAGAGGCTGGACAGCGACGACGAGGAGGCTGTTCTGGTCGCGGTTGAGGATGTCGTCTTTGTGCTGGGGGCGCTGGATGCGGACTGGACGAAGCGGGAGGGGTTTGCCATGGAGTTGCTGGGGCTGGAGGATGAGAAGCTGGAGGACGTGGTGGCTGAGGTGGTCGCTGCGTATCGAGCCGAGACTTCATGATGGGGGCGCTATGTAAATGTTCAATGGGTTATGGGAGAAATAGACGTTCGATCACACCAAAAGACATGTAAAGCATGGACTGAGGCAAGGGACCCTGATCTTGGGCTTCATTCCGGGGCGACAGTTCCACACTCTCAAGTCGTATAACTCCCAATCCCGTCTTTCTCTCGCCTGGCTACATAAGACCCGATTCTTTCTGGACAATACCTTGTCATGCAGAGATCAAGTGAGTGTTCGTATGCAGCAGCCTTAGCCTCAGCCGCAATATACATGTAGATGTTGAATCTGGCTAACATCATCTTTAATCCGGAAGATGGTTCAAGCTTTACTGGCTTCTAACTTACGATGTGGATGCTTGGTTGATGCCGGTTGGGTATATGCTCACAAGTTGACACTCGTTGGGTGAATGTTTGCAGACAATCATCATCTTCACCTTATCTTGACCCAAAGAATCGCCCTGGGCAACCTTTTGTCTGAAGCGGCAGAGGACATCTCATCACAACCGCACCCCTCATGTCTCGCATCGCCAAGCCTTTCAGCCCTCAATCGACGCCTTCACCCAGCCTATCAGCGTGATTCACATCACCACTGAGACTTGCAGCTAACTCACGACGGGACTTTGTCACGCCACCAGAGTCTTGACGGATTTCAGCTGTCATGAAGGGCATTTAGCGAAGCCAAGCTCTCTCTCTTGAAGAAGGACTTCCCTCATGCACGTAAATGCTGCTCGAGGTTGAAGTCGACTCAGTCCGTCGCACTCATCAGAATGCAGCTCGCTTCCAGCATCGTCCTCATCCTCGCATCGTATGCCATCTGCATTGATACCCGATGAGCCAGCACTGGTATTGCTAACCCAGCATGCTTACAGATGCCTCCTATCCAGAGCCCATGCTCTCATCAGCTGTGTCCCAACCGTCACGATAACCACTCGCCCGGGCACCAGCAACGGCTGCAAGTTCAACTGCTCCAGCGACTTTTGCATCATCGATAGTAAGTCAGTCATGCTCACTCAGCTGCGCATGAAATCATCGCCTTGACGCTCCCATACCAGATCTGGTCACTCTTCCCTGCGGCTGCTCACAGGCCGCAGGCGTCGTCACGCAGACCGTCACCGCCTGTGCAACGTCGAGCCCGTGCTGGAACTGCCATACCGGCTTCCCATTCACCACCACGGCCACAGACTGTCCATAGATAGTAGGCGACGAGAAAGAGCGAGTTCAGGTCCGATATCGTATCAGCGTAGGAGGCTGTACAGCCCCCAACCGAACTTGATTGCGTGCGATGCTGTATCATGGATGCTCCGCGGGCGTTGCAGAAGAGAGAAAACAGGCACGGTAGATTTAAATTAGGCTCTGGTGCACCGTAGTTCAAGCAAGATCACAAAACGAAAGAAAAGGCTTCAATGTAACGCGCCAGTTATTTTTGTATGCTGCAAAGCCCGATGCTGCACACCTGCAGCAACGGCAGCAGATGAAATGGGCACTGCATAACGGTATTTATTGCATACCTTACACTGGTGATTGGCACGGCTCTGCTGATGACATGCTTGGAATCAGAGGGCGGGGGGATGGAGGACCGGGTCCGGACTTGAGGATATTTTGGGAACGGGAATGTGCGCGAGTTGGCGATTCACCAGAGTTGAGGATGATGAAGCATTCGAGAGGAGGTTGGAGGTTATATTTGGAAGCAGAGGCAAGCTGCAGGTCCATAGAATAACAGGGCAGAGCTCCAGGGTCAGGCATCGATCGGCGCAGTCCGCTAACAGCCGGGCGTAAAATACAGTCAACATCTACTGCAAACACTGTATCGCTGCAACACATTTCCTCGCATCTATATAGTGCCGTCAACACTGTGCCGCTGCATCACCACCCAACACGCGACCACTGACTCGCCCACTAAGCCATCGCCACAAGCTATTACCAGACAACAGACAACCTGAACACTCACTTGACTCGACAACAAACACACCAAACTCCCAATATCAAACACCAACATCCAGCATACGTGTTCCCTTCCAACCTGACGGAACCTCATTCCTCCCTCTCAGCTTCGCCCCCGTTCGTCACAGCTGACGCCTCATCACCCACATCCCGCTCCAGAAAGGGCTCGCAGGTCAAGCTCCCCTCACCCTATCGGCTCACTCACCGGGTTTTATCTCAGCAACTTTTCCCCCCTAAAATTAAAACAAAGGAAAAACCGGGCTGGGCCAAGCTCGACACAGCCCCGGTGCGGTGACGTTGTCATTTTTTCCTCAGCTGCTTCTCACTCTCTCCTTGGGGGGGCTCTAGTCAGGCAACTTCATTTCAGCCTTCTTTTTATCAGGAGAACAAATGCCAGGGACACATCTGATGGGCCAAGAAATCTGAGAGAGCAAACATCCTCGTCTTCCGTCTCGTCTCGTCTGTCGTTTAATCACAAGACCTATCGTCGTGCAGGTTTCGAAAGCCTCTCGTTGTCTGCGAAGCATCTTGATGCATCAAGTTCCTTTGTCCTTCTTTGCGTCCAGATCTGCGTCTTGATCTCAGGTACTCGTTCAACCGGCAATTGGCAGTCATCAATCTCGTCGGCTTACGCCTAGCCGCCATTAGCCATTTTTTTTCTTGTCCCCGTCCCTAGATATCCGCATCGGATCCTTTGAACCTGCAGCACAATCCTTGCATACGACCCTCGGATTTCTCTTCATAGGCGGAAAAAGGGGACCGAGAAAAGCATCGTGGTCATGCTCGTCTTGACTGCAGCCACATGATTGATAGCGCAAACAAAGCATAGCGGAGTAGCCTCCATTCTTTGAGCGAAGCAGATAGAAATACCTTGTTTCTCCGGTCTGGTTTCCTGCATCACGGCGTTTTTCCCCAGCAAAGGCGTATCAACGCCACAAAAAAACAAACCCCCTTCTTTTCACCCATCATGGAGGCTCAGTCACTCGCCCATCTGAATCTGCTGGCGGCGAATCCCCCCCAGTATCCAGAAAATCCGTCAGAAGAAATACAGCAGCCCTTGACCCTCTATATATCCAGAGTCCCGGGCGTCAGAGGTATTTGCAGTCAAGATACCGTCATTTACCAAGTGAAATCCTAACAATGTGAAACTCCAGACGTCATTCTTTCAACCTTCAAACCTCGGCTCAAAAATGTCACGCTCGAAGATGTAAACAGCAGTCTCTACTATGTTCATCTCGAGCTCCCCATGCTGGGCATGAACGCCCCCCAGCCACTGAGAGACGAGTCCCAAGGCAGATCAAGCGAGGAGAGCTATATGACGAGAAATATTGCCCGGAAGCCGGTGCCTGGCGTCTCGTCCCAAGCCCCGGAGATTTCGATACAAGGGGATCAGCTACAGTATCCCCCAAGCATACACGGTGACCCATCGCGGGGGCCTCCGAATGATCTCAGTGCACCCTTCAACGCGCAGGACGCCGACTATGCGCCCCCGCTGCCTCCTAGACGCTTCGAAGACTCAGGGCTGGGACTCTCAGACAGCTCCTCCGAGCTGAATCCCCAACTGGCGCCTCAGCAGCCACGCGCAGCTGCTCCCAGACGCAAGCCCGTCGGGCCAAGGCAGCAGAGTGATGTTGCCCAAAGCCGACTCTCCATGGACGAAACGGCGCGATCTAGGGATCCAACCAGAGACGGAGCATATATCGCCGGCCATACAAGACAGAGCCGCTCACTGTCTCCTTTGAAGAGCACCGATTCGTCTACGCCACCCTTCACCTTGGACCTCATAAGAAGGGATCCAGTCAGGGGTGACCAGTGGAATGTGGGCAAGATCTTATCATACGAGAACCCCCTGGCTGGGGAGGCCGGGCAGTCTGGCGCATATCTATCAACCTCGCCAGAACGACGCCCTCCGCAGCACCCATCCATCGACATACATATTCAGAATGCAGGATACGCCAAGTTCCGTACGAGGCCGTCGAGCGCTATGCGTCCTAGGAGGAGCATGGATGCCGATCGATCCTTGGCGGACATGGCAGGCTCGCAAGACGGCCACAATTTCTATCGACAGGTCACCATGGCCTACTCGCGAAGCCTGGGCTCTGCCATGCGATCCAAGTTCCACCAGGTCGGGCAGGCAGTGCGGAAGAAGGCGCACAACCGAGAGGGAAGCGAGGCCTCGGTCAATTCGTTTAGCTCGGGAGAGAACAAGAGCGGGTCGCCGACATCTTCACGACCCGACAAGATGAAGCCGCGGGGGTACACCTTTACGAGCCCCTGGGGCGGCAGATGCGAGTTTCGCACGGGCAATGGCGGCCGGAGCCTGCTGTGCTACCATTTCCTCCACGAGGGCGAAGTTGGAGCCTTTAACCCGCTGGTCCCCGATTCCAACCCGTCCAAGTCCACGTCGGCCGTCGTCAGCGAGCTGCGCTTCAACCTGCCGGGCTCCGATCTGTTTCCCACGGTTGATTCGCCCAAAGGCGATGGTGAGAACCGCCTGGGTCATTTCGGCAAAATCATCAAGTCGGCCATGGACCGCTCTGACTACAGAGACGATGACGATGTCATGTCACCGTTCGACTTGAACATTGGCGGCGAGAGAGCAGGAGGAGGCAATCGCGGCACGCGGGCCAAGCTGGGGAAGCTCATCATCTACCATGAGGGGCTGAAGATGCTGGATCTGCTGGTGGCGGCCAACATGGGCGTGTGGTGGGGGTCCTGGGAGAAGAGTTTCTGAACGGGATTGACGATGCGGATGTTGATTTATCGAGGTGGTTTTGCCATGATTAACGCGTAATGGGCTTATAATGTTGTTTGTTTCTATGTATCTGATATTTTCTTCTTTTCTGTTGTTTAGGTAGATGATGGGGTTCATGTCGGTACATACTCCGTAGAAGATGAGCATAGCAATTAGAGCTGGCGTCATAGCAGATCAGGCATCACGTGCCATGTCACGAGCAGCCATCGCCCAATCACTGGCCTAGCAATGTAATCCCGCAGTAAAGCACTAAGGCGTTCCGTTCCGAACAGAGGCAAAAGAGCCTGTCCAGGTCGCCCAAAGGTCTCTCGCCTCCCACCTCCGAATCGACGAACAACCAGCGTCGCCCCCGTCCTGCAACTCGGGCCAACTTTGTCAATCGTCTCGCCAGCGAAGATCCCGACGACAAAACAATGGCCCCGACCCTCGCCGTCTCGATGCTGGCCAAGCGCCAGCTGGCTCGAGCTCCGGCCTCGTCCGCCTCGCTCATGATGGCCACGAGGATGCTCGCCTCTCCCTCGTTCTACCAGCAGCAGCAGCAGCGAGGCTACGCGACGCCCAAGGGACCCCCGCCCCAGAACTTCCGGACGAGCAAGCCGATGGAGTGGGTGTGGGAAAAGGACAGCCTGCTGGACCGGCTGGGCAAGTACTTCCTCATGACCGAGATGGCCAGGGGAATGTATGTCCTACTGGAGCAGTTCTTCCGACCTCCGTACGTATACCGGCCCAGTTGAGGATGGACGATTGGGGTGTTTTTGTCAAAGGCGGAAATGCTGACTTGAGGGGCGGCAGTTACACCATCTACTACCCGTTCGAAAAGGTACGCAGCTTGCGCCGGGATGAGCTCAATATCCCAATTACGGTCACTCTGCGCCATTGAGCCCCGGTTAACAGTCGTCTTAGGGCCCCATATCCCCCCGATTCCGCGGCGAGCACGCGCTGAGACGATACCCCTCCGGTGAAGAGCGATGCATCGCCTGCAAGCTCTGCGAAGCCGTAAGAATACCCCCACCAATCATGAGAGCGCATGCGCAGGGATGAAGCGTACTGACAGCGTTTGCGAATGACAGATCTGCCCTGCCCAAGCCATTACCATCGAAGCCGAAGAGCGTGCCGACGGCTCTCGCCGCACCACCCGCTACGACATCGACATGACCAAGTGCATCTACTGCGGCTTCTGCCAGGAGTCGTGCCCCGTCGACGCCATCGTGGAGTCTCCCAACGCCGAGTACGCCACGGAGACCAGAGAAGAGCTGCTGTACAACAAGGGTGGGTTTCGATGCCATGCCCCGGGATGATGAATGCCATGCTGACACAGAATACAGAGAAGCTGTTATCCAACGGAGACAAGTGGGAGCCTGAGCTCGCTGCCGCCATTCGCGCTGATTCACCTTACCGATAAAGACTACGCAAAGAACCTAATTCAATTCTGTATGATGTGGGCGGAGATGCAATCAAAAGAGGCGTGAGGAAGAGGCTTGTACATAACTAGGCGCTACAACGAAAAGGCCATTGATTCAAGTTGTCAGACTCTGTGAACCTTTCTGGCCGTGTTGAATCCAAGTATATAGGGGCTATGCTGACTACCTTTGAAGAGGAAAGCGGCGAGTTGTGCATCGAAACTGCGCAGTTGCGGTAGGGTATTAGTATGTCGTGAACATAGTCAGGCAGCGTGTTGCAACTGCACCCATACTGCACCCATACTGCTTACCCGAGGTTATTTTGTCCTAAGACGATCCCGTGGTAGGTATGCTTCCCCTTCTGCCGGCCTCATGTGGGGTAATGAAGCCCTCTCGGAAGCAATCTTGCCCGCCATGGTCATCGGGGGCAACTGATCCATCTTGCAAAGAACGATCGTCTGCGGACTCGTCTCTCCGCTTCTTCCTCTTGATGTGGTAGGAAAGCTTTAGCAGCAGGTATATCAGGCGCATCATCACGCCTATGGTGATTCTCATGTCGAGCTTGTTTGAATTTGGTTGAAGACTGAGTTTGGAAGGATGGTGAAGAATCGGAAGAACAGCTTTCGATGGGAGGACCTGGGGGGGGCTCTTTATATGCTTAGGCATGGTCGTGATGTGTTCAGGCAGGTGTATTTGCCATCTTCTCGCATGACCTTGGCCTAGATCCTCAAAAAGGTGCTCGATTGACGTATTTGACCGCGATTTGCTAGGCAAACGGCTGTTTGTAGGAGATGCTCGTGACCGTTTGGCGTGCATGTTCACACATTCAGCGCCTTCGTTGCAAGCAAACCCAGCATTATAGCTCAAGAAACGCAATGAAGCTTCACCCCCAGGCCAGTAATCATCGAACAGAAGACAGAGCAGCAAACCCCATCTCACAATCGTCACTTCTCAAGCAGCCATCAAACCCTCTTACACGTCCTTGAACCATCATGGCGTTCACAAACATCAAATGCTGCCATTCCACCACCCAATCGCAAGCCCCTCAATCCCGCTGATTCATCTCACGTGACTCCTCATCCCCCTCCATCCCGTTCTCCAAGCACAGAAGTATGTACCTTTGTACCCTCAAGCCGGCACCAGCTGCAGCTCCCTCCACTCCGCAAAAGACCGAGTAATAGCCAGCCAGCGAGAAATTTAATCCATCCCGCCGACATCAAATCCGAACCCGTCACCAAAAAAACCCGCCAACGACACTCACAACTCGACGACTCCCACTCCCTCCTCCCCCCAATTGATTCACCTCTCCTCCTAATTTCTTTTCTTAATAACAAAGACTCCGAAGATGTTCCGCACTGCTGTCCTCCGCACATCCGCCTCGGCCGTCCGCGCCGTCGCCCGACCCGTCGCCATCCGAAGAACAGCTGCCTTTGCTGCTCCCCGCGCCGTGGCCGCCGCTGCCGCTCCCCTGCGCGTCCAGAGCGTCATGGGCGTGCGCATGTACAGCGCCGGTGGTGGCCTGAACAAGGAGGAGGTTGAGGGCCGCATCATGAGCCTGCTGCAGGGATTCGACAAGGTAAGGACTCTGCTCCCCTGCGCTGTAAATGATGTTTATGAGGGGGGGTTGGGGGATAAGGGGGAGATACTACAGTTGAAACGGGGCCTTGGAGGGGAGATTGTCTGTGGATCCTACGGAATGACATTGTGTGGGAGAAAAGAGAGCTGCGCAATGGATGGGCGAGGCTGAGATGTCCGAAAAGTCGTGATGCGAAGGCGGGGGAGAAAAGCAGAGCGGGGTGCAAACATCGACATTTGCAATTGTTCGGTCATGCGCTGCCACTCCCTTCTCATACTCAAGTTTCCATTCCTTCAAAGCTCGTCTGCTAACGATACTGCGCTTCAGGTCAACGACGCCGCCAACGTACGTCCGAACCCTGCTTCTCCCGCCCAACGAATGACATGCATCTAACCACCATCGCCTTCTTTCCCTCTCACAGATCAAGCCCAACGCCCACTTCGCCAACGACCTCGGCCTCGACAGCCTCGACACCGTCGAAGTCGTCATGGCCATCGAGGAGGAGTTTAGCATTGAGATCCCCGACAAGGACGCCGACAGCATCCACTCCAGTACGACTCTCCCTCCCAATATCTATCCGAACCATTCAGGGTGAAAAGTGTGTGTGTGTTGTGTGTGTGTATGCTTACACATGTGCGTTTGCAGTTGACAAGGCCGTCGAGTACATCCTCAACCAGCCCGATGCTCACTAAATCCGCTTTCCGATCCCGACGACTCTGGAAAACCACTGGCGCCTACTTCAGAACCCCCTCAAACCTCGCTCGCTATATTGACTCGAGATTTCCCGCCTGTGGAATATACCCGGATATGAATGAGGTCAGGATATAGGATGGGAGACATCGAACTTGCAATAACGAAACAACATGGGAACTTCCAACCAGGGCGGAACCTATCTTGTTTTGGGGAGAATTCGTGGAGCCTTCCTTCTATCTTTCTCCAAATTTCTCGAGGGATCCAAGAGGTGGTTAGTTCAAGGCTATGCAGTGATTTCCAGGCTCCGACGGAAAGAGAGTGAAGAAGAGGATTAGATGGGGTAAGTAAAAAAGGGACAAAAAAAAGAAAAAAGGATGGTTGTATTGATGGGTGTGTTGGTCCGGAGAAGCTTGTTCGAAGAAGTAAGAGGGTCTCTTCTTGGGCAGCTTATCCCCTTGTACTAGTGTATAGAAGAAATCATTTTACTCTCCACCATTTGCTCAGCCGGGATCACCCTAAGACATGTAAAAACTGCTATGCTCTCTTGTAGAAGCCGACGATTTGGTCATGTATATATATATATCCTGACATACAAAAGTAAAAAGTGTAAAAAGATTCGAGCTGGCCTCGCCAAACGGGACTATGTATTATATCCAGCCACTCCTTTCAAAATTTGACTCAAGTATATAGTCTCTGTCTGTCTCTGCAAACGTACAATCCAAGATTTCAACAACGACCAACCCCAGGTCAAAAAGCCGCACTGAGATAAGCTGAGATGCCCACAAGCTTCAGGCAAAAAGGCCGCAATCTGATGAGATGCCACAACCAATGATCCAGTGGTTTCATGATCCAGTGGTTCGTACTTTCATTGTGTCTCCTATGATGTAAGCAAAGAAGAAAAAAGTATCCTATTTCGATGCTGCAAAACGCCTGTGATGAAACACCCCGCGATCCAGAATAGAGGTATGACTTCAGGGCGTGGCCGTCCTAGATGACTCCTCGATATCGAAAACTGAAATGGCAAAATATGGGAAGAAGCCAAAACGCAAAAACTCCAGCCTATATAGTAGTATATGTACACCCCCTGTGGTTCCTTTTGTTTCCCCCCCCCCTTCCCAGCCCTTGGCGATGTCGGATGCCGGATGATGATTTTGTGTTCCCCTTCCAAAGGTAGCCACAATTGTTGTAAAGAGAGAAAGAACGAGAAGTTGGAAATAAGCAGAAGGGACATCCAGGGAAGACCCTTGGTCTCCGAGTAGGTACGAGTCCATGGCGTGCTGTCGTCTGTTTCGTAGATCATCATGCCTTCGTCAAAAATGGTCATGGTTCCTCCGTTGGTCGATTAATCTTCAAGGGCTGGGGGGGTTATCTCGTCTAAGAAAATGCTCCGCCATGATTTTTTGTATATGTCCTCTTTGCAAAGTCCATCATCTTCCATTGACTGGCACAGCATCTCGCCCGTCTTTGGCTCCATTCGAGGATGTCACTCCCTTGCTGGCGGCGGCGTTGGCATAGGAGCTGTAGGTCCCAATCGCCAAACCGGAAGAGCCACGCTTGCGGGCCTTTGACGCCGATGCGTCTTCCTCCTCTTCCATGCTGAAGACAAAGGCGGGATCTTCCTCGTCAATGGGAGTGGTAAATCTCACAGACGAACCAATGCTGTTGCTGGAGACGTGGCGCTCCAGACCGCGGTCCTTGCCGATGGGTGAGATGCCGTTGCTAGCGCTGCGAGTGACGGTGGGGTGCAGCAGAGGACTGGAGCCGTTCAGGGTGTCATCCAGCCGGCTCCGTTGCAGCTGCTGAGAGAGCATCGACATGGATTCGCTTCCAGACCGAATGGCAGATGGGCGGCCATTGGCGCCCGAGAGGTCGTCCGACATTTCCTTGGCCAGAATCGAATTTCGCAGGGGGCTCCCAACGTGGCCAAAGGCTGATCCGGCAGCGCTTCGGGCCGATCTCGTCATCTCCTCCTCTTCCTTCTGACGCTGGAACAGGGGTCCCCATCGACTCGGGCTCGAGCCAATGGGGCTGCCATATTTGCCCAGGCTGCCCAGGCTGAAGTCGGGCCTCTCGTCTCGCATCGAGCCTCTGCGGGCCTTTTCTGCCGGGGTCAACAGATCTTGCAGGTCGCCCGGAACAAGATTCTCCGGCACGTTGTCGTCGTCGCCAAAGGCAAACTCGGCCTCCCAGTCGCGGTCCACCATGTTCTTGGGCATGCTGGCGCTGAGCAGCCGCGGCTTGGGGTATCGGGTCGAATGCATAATTCGCTTCCCAAAGTACTCTTCGCCGGTGAGATGCTGTGAGTCTGGCGGGCTGCCGGCGATGGGGGTCGCAAGGTGTTCGGACGATCCAAAGGCGGAGGAGTGGAGCAGCTTGAGTGTCTCCGACGTGCGCGAGTCCTTGATGCTGCTGAGTGACGGAGACGGCGACTCCAGGCCAAACTTTGACGGCACGGACGAGGGCCACGGCGCGGCAGGGAAGCGAGCGGCGTTGGAGATGCCGTTGGAGTCGAACGAGGCGGGCAACGGGGCATCGAGGACGGAGAGGCCCTTTGCGGCGGGGGACAGGCCAAAGCCAAGGCGGGAGGAGTCGTCGTCGGGCGGGGAGCCGTAGTTGGACTCTGTGACAGAGTAGGGCGCATCAATGGTTGGGGGCCCGTTATCGTGGCCGCCGGAAGGGCCGAGGTGCTGCATCTCATCGCCGAGATAAGGGTATGCGGGCTGATCGGCACGGTAGAGGGACGTGGTCAGGGCACTCGCGGTCGAATGGCCGAAGGGGCTACTGACAGCGCCCTGGGTCTGTGAGACGGGACTGGCGCCGCCCGCGCGATTGAGGGGATTTGGACCGATGGTAACGCCATTCTTACCGTAGTTGATTCGGCGGCCGTCGGGCAGGACGTGGATGTTTGCGCACTTGGGGCCAAACTTGCAGTTACCCTAAGAGGAAAGAAATGCAATGGTCAGCCAACCAATCTCGACACACAGCTGGCTATGCTCTGCCCTGCCATGGCGCAACAAGCGAGAGCCCGCACAATCCATTTTGGCACACAAGAGAGGAAGAGCGAGGGAGGGGATGAAGACATGTCCAGAGAAGGTGTATCGGAGGGACATCGGAGAGGACGTTGTCGGCTGCGGGTCTTTCCGGGCACAGAGGAAGTATGGAGTCCTTTTTTCCCCTGCTTCTCTTTTCCCATCTTCGTCTCCTCCCTCTGATTGGCACAATGGATAGGCAAAGCAAGTACAATAGACGGGTGAGACGTTGAAAGGTTCAATGGAGGACCTGGCGGACAAGGGCAGAGCGGAAGCGGCGGAGATGGCAAAGGGGCCAAGCCAAAGAGGCACCTCACCTTTGCGAAATATTTGCAGATGGTCTCAGAGGCAGCGCCCAGGTCGTGGCTGAAGGGACAGGCATTGCCGGCCTGGCAGGCTCCCTGGCGAAAAAACTTGCACGGAACGTGCGATGTATCTGCAAGCAGCAAGCAAACAAGGTCAGCGCAAGATCGGGGACTCTGGCGGGCGATGTCGGTGGTCGTGTGAGCGGACAGGACAGCACCGGCCGAGCACACAAACGGCACGGGTGTTGTAACACAACGAAAGGGCTCAAGACGTACTGGGCGGGCTGCGCGGCATGCTGTGATGGGCGCCGTGGGCAGCGCTGGGGATGCTGAGGCTGCCGCTGCGCATGTGGCGATACTCGGGCATCGTGGCGGCGGGAGACGAGAGTCGCGAGAGGCGGCGCTGGTCGGGCGGAGGTGAGGCCAGAGGAAGAGGAGAGGAAGTGCTGCGAGCGTGTCGGATCGAGAGAGGGGGGAAATTGGGGTTCAGGCTGCTCGGGTTGTGTAGCGGCGGCAGAAGCGCAGCGTGGGCGGGGATGGAGGGGACGGAGGGGGCCGGCTGGGGCGCTGGCGGCGCTGGCGGAGGCGCTGGAGGCGCTGAGCGAGGGCCTGTGGCCGGGTTGTAGGCACCTTGACCACCTGTAGCTGGCGCTGGCGCTGTAGCTGCACCGATACGAGTACCAGAACTACCTGTACCGGTAGGGGGGCCCTGCACCTGCACCCGCACCGTGAATGCCGCAGCACCACACGAACTTGGCCCTGAACCCGGTGATGCAGAACCTGATCCTGATCCTGGCCCCAATGCCGCCTCCGGGCCTCCGAGCTGGTGTTGGCTGTGCTGTTGGTTGTGCGGCTGCTGGTACGGGTCCAGGTACGGACGGTGCTGCATGTGCATGTGCATGTGCTTCTGCGTCTGTGATTGCGCGTGTGATTGCGCCGGCTGTTGTTGCTGCTGGAGGTGACCGGTATCACGAGTATGATTGCGCTGTCGGTCTCCCGCAGAATCTTTGTGTCTCAGCACGGCTCGTAGCAGCGCTCCCGGCCGTCGTAGCTGGAGCCCTTGGGGCGGGAGCACAGCGTATCGGTCGTGGATCGCAGCCATCCGCTTACATGTATGGGGTCGGTATGGGGAGAGAGGCAAGGGGTCGAAGTTTGGGCAACAAACAGACGACACGGCCGAGACTAAATCCGAAGGCGAAGTGACGATCAAAAAAAGAGTCGAATGAGGAATGGTAGAAGAAGGAGAACAAGAAGAAGAAGGGAAAGACGACGGAGAAGACGGGGGCAGCAAGACTATGGCCAAGGCAGGGCGTGATATGCGCCTGATCACCACGTTCTTGTGCTTGCTCGGCCCCAAAGCGTCTGAGATCAAAAGACTTGGATTATACCGGCTAGCAGTCCAGCTTACTTTGAGGCTGGCAATGGGCTCAGCAACCGCGCAACGGCTATGGTCAGTTGCCCGTCCGTCAGCAGCACATGTACCGATGCTGCGGGTCCTCCCAGCCTGCAGAGCGTGAGATACTGGATTCTTTCGGGCCCTTTCAAAGTGGGCATGGAGCGGCCGGTACTGGCAATGGGATGCGAGTTGTCAGAGATTCCGCAGAACGATCCAGTCAAGCCAAATCGAATGATGGCCCACGACAAGGGGGTGTGTGGCAGTGGCAGGGGGGCAGCGGTGCAGGGAGGGTCAGTTGAGGTGATGGTAATATATCACGGCAGATGTCCATGACAGCTTCGCTGAATATTCGGCCGCCTATCAAGCCGATGCACGGGAACGTCTAGCTTATTATATATCTGTGCCTGCAACTGTGACCAGGAAGGTGGGAGGGCAAGGGGGGCGAAAGCCCAAGTGTCGGCAAGCTGATACATGGACATTCACGCTCATGTTAGTCGCAGATTTGAAGTAGTAGATACGAGCGAGCACGTACGCAAGCCCCCTCCTCTCCCTCGCGTCCAGAGCAGAATCAAAAGAAACCATCTATATGGTTACGACGACTACTACATGTACCCATCCGGTGGCGAGAGCGTGTTCGATAGACAACCGTTTGGAAAAGATGGTCCAGACAGAGGCGTGCGGACACGGGCGTGGGAGCGGGTGTAGGTGTATCAGTATAAGTGAGGTCGTAGCAGATGAACGGCACCAGACCAGACCTCTCCTGAGGTACATGTATACTGAGATCAATCAAGTTCGTGTAGTTGTATGGAGAGGTGTGTGTCGGTACCTTCATGTTGTGGTGGTATGTGTCTGGTACTTAGACGCAGGTGTGCTTCGTGCCAGCAGCAGCGGGTGCGGATGACGGCGTTTGAGGAGCAGTCGGAGGTGGTGTGCAGACTGGAAACACCACGCTCCGTTGACGATGGCCTCAGCCTGTACCTGACGTCTAGCGCCAAAATACGTGAGCCCGGCAAGTACCAGCACTAGCGCCGCAATATTGCCATTGTGCTCGATATTGCAGACTCGAGTCACTCTGCACCGTCCATCAATGTATGTAAGTTATGTACGTGCACACAACGATGTGTGTACATGTATGCCGCTGGCCGGAGCAAAAGCCCGTGCAAATCAACGGCCAGCTGGTGAGCCGCTTCGATGTCCTCCACCAGCCCATTCCTGGCAAGGGCAAGGCAAGACACGAGCAAGGCGATCAATCACGTTTGGGCCGTTACGGAGCACTAGTCTCACAGACAGACTGCGGGCTGCCTACCAACTACTGGGAGAGGAAACTGAACGTTGGCCGCCCTCGAAGTTTCGATTCAGCTCGGAAGTGACTATCGCTTCCCGTTTTTGCTGTCTTCAAGAGCCCGGAATAGCAATCACGGCGGCGGAGCTGACAGTTGAGCCTGTTGGAGCTGTTTCAAAGTCCGGTCAGCGTGGCAAGACACCCAGACGACTGGGCCTCCGGGGAAAAGACATTGAATGAAGCAAAGGTACGATTTGATACCTGTGCATACGAATGGACGTGTACATGCACATGCCAATATTTGAACTCGGTGCGGGCCGACATTCCAGTCCTCTGGACCAGATACTACGTCCAGCTATCATCAACATCATCATCACCATCGTCATCATCATCCAGGGTTGGCTGCGAGAATCGACTGGCTGAGACGCTTGGACATGTCCATCTCAAATCTGTGCCGTTTGCCATGGCCCAAGAGAATTGCCATCAAATCCCCCAAATCTGTCTCGATGCATAAGTGCGCATTTCACGTCGTATCGACAAGTGTGTCTGTCTGTCTGTCTGTATGTCTGCATCCGAGATTCCATGTCCGCATCTGCGGCCACCCTGCTGCAGATCACCCATGGCATTTTGATGAGCACGGGGCCAGCATCGGTTGACGATCTTTGCCTGTAGAGAGCTAGGAGGAGTTGCATGGGAGTTGAGCATTCTCCCCGGACGGTAGAAAGAGAGAGCACGGGAAAAGACGATGGATCGTCATCACGATTACAGCTTCTCGATCCCACCTCTTATCAGACGGGTAAGATCATCACAGCTATCGACATCGGCAGCGTACATACATATATGCATGCGAATCAACCTCAGTTTCTCCATGTAACGAGACATCAAACATCATGTCCACACCACCCAAAGCCGCCATATAGATACGCATATCCACAGCAGATGGTAGCACCGCTACCACTTGCACGGAGTAAATGGTTAGCAGCGTCCTCCCGTCCGTCCTCCTGTACTTCGCATGTTGAGGTAGTAGATACATTCTGGCGTCTGCCCCGGGAATGCTCGCAACGCTAGTCGAATGGGTTTGTCCTCGTGTTACAGCATGAGCTTGTCATCCAGGGCCATCGAGCCTGTCTTGGCTGAGCCGCCCTGCGAGGCCCAACATGGCGCTGCCCACGCAATCTTGTCTCACCCGGAGCATGTTCGTTTCTTTTTCCCCCTCTCTTCTTGAGATGGATTCAAGATTGTCAAAGACGGGCTGCTGTTACACGGCATATGCCGATACTTGTTTGCTGCCTAGTGCCCTTGATGATATTACCGTACAGCAGCGCGAGGCCTTCCAGCTGAGAGGCATGATTCAACATGAATCGTCTTGATATTGTGTTGTGTTGTTGACTGCTCCATCGTCAGCTCACGTCACTAATCACGCCTTGTCTGCATACAGTAATCCATACCATACTCGTGCCTGTCTGCTTAAGTGCGCATGTGCTCGCACAAGAGACATCGCGTATTTTGTCCTCACCAGCTCGAGCAGCCTCCCGCCGCTAACACATTGAACCTGGCTTTGTGTAACCAACCCCCCCGACTTCAGTCAAGAATCAAGGCGGCCGTCACAGGGGAAGAGCACAGACGAGATGAGACGCGCCTCCCTTGTACGAAGAATCTTGGTACTGTAACTCAAGGAGCAGAAAACCGAGCAAGCCGTGTAAATCCGGGGAAATGCTCCATCTCTCTGGGCAACATGCCCATGTCCCTGCAGAGCGCCACAAAAGCAGGCTTCGGGCTTCTTCACTGTTCTGTCTCCCCGAAATCCATCTTTCCGAGTCGCCGATAAGCCAGGAATAGAAACGGCATGACTGCAGGCTTGAAGGCGTCGTCATCGGATGGCCCTGGAGCCAGACGTGGAAGAGGTAACAGTAAAGTCGAGACACGGAGACAGGTGGTCGCCCTCCTCCTCGGCATGTACTCTGTACCTTTACGGGGTGGCTGAGACAACCTTGAACGGACGAGAAACCTGCTTTGATCTCGCTCTAGAGCAAGAACCAGGCGATCGAGTCGATGTCCGTGAATCATGCATGCACTCTCCAGGTACCTCCACGCCAAGTGAGGTAGCAGGTACAGTCTCGTGACACACAACCTTCAATCCAGAGATTCGGCAAGTACCATCTCCAATCTCTTATCTGGCACAATCTCTTCCGAGGCTCCCCCATTGGGCGTCGCCTGCATGAGAATCTCCAACTGAAAATCGCACACGGTTGCTTGTGCTTCGTATCTCTTCATCTTCCGTCCTCCCTGCAAACATCAGACCATCAACATTCACAGCAGCGCCGCCACTGAGGAGAGCCGCCAGCAGGAAACCGGAATCGCACCTCCAACCGAACCGCCTCAAAGCGACTCGTCAACTCGTCCCATATTGCTGTCATTGTCCGCCTGCTGCCCGTGTCTCAGCTGTCTGCGAAGCCGTCACTCGGGCCATTGAAACCCGCATCCATCGTCTGGTGCCCTCCATCCACTCAAGATGCGCGCCAGCCCTCCTTCTGCCCAGGATCTGTCTCAGGGCAGACAGCGGCTAGTGATGCCCTCATGGCCGGCGAATGGGAATGTGTGCTGCAGCTACGGGCGATGTGCGGTGGTTCTGCATTGATCTGGTTAGACGCCGTTCAGGAATCTGCTCTCCAGCGACGCGATGCAATTC